CCGAAGACAATAAAGGGTTCCTATATGCAGAGATTCTAACAACCCAAACCCTGCATAGCAAGGGACACTGGTCATGAAAGACAGTTCACTGAGAATAGAAGTTTCAGATATGACCGGGATGAAGGCAAGAACAGTCAATGGAAGGAAATAAAATGCCTCACAGGAAGCAGATGGAGACTCAGTGGGAGGAGGAAAGGGCGAGGCAGTTTTTGTGTACGGGCTCCAAGAAGCCAGGGGGACAACTTTGAAGAAATAAAACAGGAGGAAAAAAAAAGATTTAAGGCATCATGAAAACAATAGGTGAGGGCGATATGACCCAGGTGACAAATTTTCAGAGAATTTGGGTGGTTTGCGAGTGGAAGGATACGGCCCGTCAGAGTAACTTTCAAGGAGGAAACCCGTTCGAAACCCGGATTCTGCAAGAGAAAGCAAGACTGAGGGACAAACAGGGGTACCCAAAAGTATACCTCGACCGCGACAGAACACAGAGAAAGGGGCTACACTGAAAGAGAGGGTAAAAATACGCAAGGGGGAACGAGAGGCAATGACGAAAAATGAGCAGGACCCAGACCAGGAGGAAGGGCAAACACACCCACAGAATCTCCTCAAAAGACTCCAACCGCGACATTCCAATGCAATGGCAACCTTACTACAACCCCCTCACTGTTCCCTCTGCCCCCAAAACCCCATATCAAAACCCCACCCAACACTGTCCCCTTTTGGGCATTCTGACCCCCCCCCCATCATCAAAACCCCACCTACACCACAGCCCCTATGGCCCCCACCAAGGCCCGCTCCCCCCAAACCCCCAAATTCTTGCTGAACCCAATGAAGAAAAGAAACTGAAAGTTTGGACACAAAATGCGGGTGGAATAACGAAAAAAATGAGGATGGAACGAAAAAATCAGTGAAAAAATCCCCAGACATCTAGCGTCACAGAAACAAAACTCGCTGAGACAATAAAAGACACAATCTCCCAAAGGGATATCAGATCCTGAGGAAAAATAGAAAGGGGTAGAGGGGGGGGGAGGGGTTTTTCACTGTTATAAAAACCCGAGGGGATTTGAGAAAAAAAGGGGAAAGGGATGGACATGACTGGAAAAAGGACTACTTTTTAGGTAAATTCGTCCGGGAACAAAAAGTAGTATTTGAGTGATGTTAACCCACCCCAGAATGCAGGAGGCCAAGAAAAGGAGTACGAAGAAAAAACGGGTGATGGTGGACAACCCGGGTGAGGGGCCAAAAAAGGCTCACCGGCAGAGCAAAGTTTTCTGGGAAGGGCGATTTCAACCACAGGGTTACTGGGGAAAACTGGAGCCACATGGGGGGCCCAAAATGGAGAGCCAGATATGGATGTGGTACTTGAAAACCTCATCATCAACATGTCGGGCACAACCCGAGAGAGAGGGGGGGAGTGCCAGCAAGACTGGATCTTTTGTTCACCCGAGCAGTTCCATTGAGGACACACTTACGAGAGGCCCCCTGGGGCTACGATCACGTGGTTTTGATTTTTATTAAATTTTGTAAGGTTCAAGTGGAGAAGGTAAAAGGAACTGAAGGGGACAGGCCAAATATAAAAGGGGGGACTACACAGGATGAAAACTTCCTGCAGGGGGTTCAATGGGAAGAGAAATGGAGGAAAATCAGTAAACGAGATGATGGAAAATGTGGCAACAAAGTGGAAGGGGCAGAGGAAAATTTTTTCCCAAAGGGGAAAAGAAATAATAGAAGACCCAAAAAGAGTCCTTTGGTTTACCCAAGGGTAGGGAGGGAAAAAAATAAGGCAAAAGAGAAGGAAAAGGTACAGGAGGATAGGACGCAGGAAAAAAAGGGGATTAGTGAAAAGCCAAAAAAAGGTATGCACAGATAAGGGGGGGGGCCCCGCGCAGTATGAAAAAGACATGCATTGAAAGTAAATCTGACCCGAAACTGCTGTTAGCCACATTAGGGAAGACAAAATCAAGGCCCAGGTGATAAGGCTGAGGAAAGAAGGTGGAAAAACTCACAAAAAAAAAAAACGATCAAGAGGTAGTGGGGGATTCAACACGAATTTAGGGAAAGTATTTACAGTAAGACAGGAAGGACTCTGGGGGGAAGCCAGATGGGGACCCCAGCAAGGATACACCAACAAGTTTTGGGATGACTACATACGGGGAGGAGAAGGTGAAGAAACTGCAAGGGAATCGATACCTCAAAGGGCGTGGGAGGACAACACCCCCCGTGGGCCCTTAGAGAGGGAGAGAATGTTGTGCGTGCCACTTCCCACAATCTTAAAACCGTTCCTGGAAAACTGGGCAACTACCTGGGGAAATGGAAGACGCAAAGTAGTTCCCTTTTTTAAAAAAAAAGGAGACAAAAAAAGGGCACTAAACTAAGACCTGTGTCATTGACGTGTATAGTAGCAAAAATTATGGGGGAAGTTTCAGGAGGAGAGTGGTGGAGCCCGGGAAGGGAAAAACAAGGGTTAAATCCCAACCAGCACGGATTCCGGAAGGAAAATCCTGTGTCACAAACCTTGGAGTTTTATGATAAATAACAAAGAAAAGCCGAGAGGATGGGGGGTTTGATGTTTTCTTCGGGGACTGCAAAAAGGGCCCTTTGACACAGTTCCTCACAAGAGATTGTGCAGAAGCTAGAGTCAGGGGATAAAAAAGGGAAAGGGGCCCGCAATGGATCAGGAAAAACCTGAAGGGGGGGCAACAACGAGTCATGGTACGTAAAGATATTCCAGTGGGGACCTGTGACGAGCGGGGGGCCCCCAAAGGGGGCGGTCCCAGGACCAGTGTATTTTTGGTAATATGAAAAGCTGATGAAAGGGTTAGATCAGAAGTGTCCCTTTTTTGCGATGATGTGAAGTTAATGAGGAGAATTAAATCTGATGAGGCCGATTTTTAAATTAAAATTCTGTCGACCATGGACTTGCTTGTACAACTTTCCAAATTTTTTAAAATCATTTGGATGGTTTAAAATCTCTTTCATGAATAATAAGCACTGGGAAACTTGTCCCGTGTAATAATGGGAATTCAAATTAAAATTTTTCAGAAAACCCACAAAAAACTGTTTCCCTTTTCCACTATTTTCCTCGCATCAAGATAAAATCAAATGTTGTTTTCTCATCAAAGTTTTGAAGCTTTAGAATTTTTAGCCTGAGTTCATAGATAGGAAAAAATCCAAAATTTATGAAATAGGTAATGATTTAAATACCCAAGAAATGTAATTGATAAATCTTTTAAAGTTGCTAGAAATACTTTTTACAATCCAAAAAGGGACAACCAGCCTTATTCAACTAAAAATATGTTGGTTCTCCCCTTACCATGAAAACTTGGTTGATATGCCTTCTCTTCTTATGACTTTTAATATTAAAGTTGTATTCAAAAATCCTGATACAGTAAAAAAACTTTTGATAAAGAATTCCCCCCAAAATGCTGATGGATGTGTCTATAAGATTCCTTGTAAAATTTGCGATAAAGTTTATTACGGTCAAACTGGAAAAAATCTCGAACTAAGATTAAAACAACACAAATATAGCATTAGAACTGGACAAGATTCCAATGCTCTATTTATTCATATGAGAGATTTTAGCCATCCAATTGATTTTCAAAAAGTTGAGAAAGTAGTATCAAGCAAGTCCATGGTCGACAGGAATATAATTGAATCTTGTTTCATAAAAAGCAGTTTTGACAATAATATGAATATTTCCTTTGGTTTATATAAATTAGATCCATTTATAATTAATAGAATTTGGGAAGAATTTAATAATACACTGGACAAATAATAATTTTTTTAATTTTCTTGGGTAGAATAGTTTGTGGGTGAGTTGTGCAAAGGACCTATCCAGTCGGGTCGGCGCGCGTCAGGTGTTTAACCGTTGTGGGATCTGATAGTGAGGTGCTGGCCAGACCCCTTATATAGCTTCCTTGGATGCTTTACTTTCATAGTTCCTTGATAATGTGAGTAGTCACGAAAGCGCTTGGAATTTCTCTATTCTTTCAGAGTGGTTGTTTGCATATATATATATATATAATATATATATATATATATATAATATATATATATATATATATATATATTATATATATATATATTATATATATAATATATATATATATTCCTTCCCAAACACAAATTCCAATTTCCTTCACATTTTTTTCTCTCCACGCACCACTGTCTTCATTTGACACTTGTGCACAGTAACATCATGTCATGCTGCTGCTCTCACACCATCGTTCATGACGCTTCCTTGTTTCCCGCCTGTTTAAGAAACATAACTTCTCGAGCACATTTCTCTAACAGTCTCCAAAATTCATCACTCTGTCACCTCCTTCGAGCTGTGTAATTAGTTCTGTTTTGCCGTTTAGTGTTTTGATTGTAATTATGATCACGTTTTTTTGCAGTACACTCTTCTACACACGTTTACACTTCCACTTATTTTTTATTTCGCCTTTCAAAATATAAATACTCCATGAGTAATGCACCATTTTTTTTATCACACCTGCCGTCTCCCACCGGGGTAAGGTGACCAGAAAGAAAAGAAAAGCTTTCACCACCATTCTATCACCTTCTTGCCAAAGATACACCGACATTACAGCTCAGATGCCCCACTAAACTGCAATATACTCACCCCTCCGTCAGTGCAGGCAATCTATTTTACTGCCTACAGGACTCAAATCCGGCTAACCATTTTCTCTGAATACCTTCTTAAATCTTACCTTGCTCACTACTTTTTCCCTGAATACCTTCTTAAATGTTATTTGCTCACTACCGTATTCTCTGAATACCTTCTTAAATGTTACATTACTAACTCTCAACTCATAAAAACTTTCTTCCCTTCACCCTTATCTAACACGCTCACAGACTTCCCTTGGATGTACTGATAAAGGAAGGAAACAATGATTCGTTTCCTTACATTCTGAATTTTTCTTAATTACTTAATTACATTACTCTTAATCATCTTTTATTCATTCAAATCTCCATAGAATTGCAGAAGTATTAACACGTACCTGAAACCAGTGAGTTTTGCCAGAAAGTAAAGAAGAGGACCAGTTACAATAAGAACGACCAGGACGGCGAGCCAGGTGGTGCGAGTGAACGGCAGGGCGAGTGACTGCCACCGTGGAAACTCACCTTCACTCTGGATCATAAAGCATGTCGACTGCAACAGTATATTGTAAAACTTTAAAAATTTTTTCACACGTAAGAAATTAAGTGTCATTGCCTAATATATTTTGAGTGATACCGTATTTTGCAAAATGAAAAATGTGATCATGTGTTTATGTACGCTAATAAAGAAAATCAGACAGGAACTACAATTAACTAAAAAAACAGAAGTCTGTAAACCCATTTGCATTCATAAATAATTGATATTTTCTTAATTTTTTCCTGAAAAATCTTAGTATCTGGTTCATATTATTTCTTTAATATACAAGCATCTCTAAGAAAAATCGTATAAATAACTTTCTCTTTTCAGTTCTTCATGGAAAGTGAGTTAAAATTTTGTATCTTTCAAACATACGTGACTTAAAAGGTAAGTGAATTGCTTGCAACAATTATTTAGCGATGCCTTATCAGAAATATTATAATAAAAGAGTGAAAAAAATTATTTTGTAATGTTTGAATATGTTAAAGTTTCTCTTCCCAAGAAGCTGGATGACTAGAAACGTAAATTAGAAATCGAATCTTTCAAATATCTTGGTGAAGTTAAACTTTTCCACAAATTCACCACATTATATCTAAATAGAGTCTGTAATTATATTAGAAAAATTAATCAAATAAAATTATTTCCTGCCCTTGCAAGAGCAAACCCTCAAAATTCTTCTTCGGAGTCAAATATCAACCAAAGTCCTTAATACGAAGAAGAAACTAAACTTTCCTAATTTAGTGATAGAATAACTGAGGTTAACTTTGTAATTGGTGTGAAAATTTGAGACATGAACAAGATACAGCTACCTAAATCTAACTGAATTGTGATAAGACGTAATTTAATTAAATTCTATAATCTGCTGTACTTGAAGTGTGTCGCTGGACATATAGAGAATTTTACCTCTCAGAGGCACCTTCCATCATGGACAATTTCTGCCAAAGAATGGCGTCTATTGTTTTTATGCTAACTTGGGTGTTGATTACTTGGGATAACTGGAGATGCCTCTTGTGTTCGGCTCCAAGCATACGAAGTTAATGCATATTACTTGAGGGAGTTTCAAGCCGGTCTTGGAGAGTGTAAGACCTAATTCTCTAATTCATTTATAGAAATTGTGATAATGGATTCAGTTACATAACTTTTCAATCGCTCTACTCGACAACTTCAAACAATCCAAGGTGTATATCTTTTCTTTAACTAGAAGATGGTTTTGATTATTTCATTTCCAGACCAATCTTGAGATTGTTCATCTTAAAATTCACCTAAAAATTCCAGACTACTTAGCTGCACAGTGCTACTCTTCCTGTGCCTTTCAATGTGTCGATCTCAAGCTCCTACGAATCTTGGTTGGGTTGAGCTATAGTTTTTAGATCTCTTATGGAAGTCACGATGCAGATGCCCTGCATTTTCAATGCACTGAAATAATGGGACTGGGGTTACAAGATGTGTTGGGACATACCTTCCTTGGATCGTGCAGCAGCCGGAACAAGTATTGCTTTTCAGTATTTTATCCAGAATGCTGGTCAGCAAATCTCACTAATATTTATTGATTCCTGTGTATATCCCATTATTTATATAGGCATCACGATTGCTAGTGTCTAGCAGTTGCTCTGTTTCCATATATTACTTGTATATCCTCTTAAAATTGCTACACACCTTCTTGCTTAAATCTTTGCAAAAATATCAGTTATATTTTGGTACTTTCCACCTCAATTTTTAATGTTATTATCTGGTTCCTTACAGTAATTTACAGTAATTTCCGATCTTATGTTGCTGTGCAACACTTTAAGCTCTGTTTTTGCCGTTTCTGCTACGTTGTTTTCACAATGACTTTCTGATTTCCATCTTTATCATATTACAGTTATTTATAACTCTTTACTATATGTTTTCTGTAATCTCTTATTTCTTACTATATTTCTGAACATTTCTTTCTCAACTATGGACTCTCGTCACTTTGTTTTCCGTTTGTTTCATGCTGGTACAAGTCTGTCTGTGGCTTCCTGGAATATATTTAATAAACTTTTTGTCATCTGATGTACTGTCATGCATTTTATTTCTCTTTTCTGTTGAATTTCGTGTACGAACTCTCTCATGACTATTATTTTTTTTCATTGGCCATTTTACTTATGTAATATTTTGTTTAATTCCTTTCCATAGACACGAGGTGATCACTGTTCCAGGCAACTTTATTCTATGAAGCTGAGATAAGATCAGTTAACAATAAATCAGTTAGTTTGGACAAGATTAGCAGTAATATAGGTACCTGAGACAATATTAGCAGTAATATAGGTACTCGAGACAATATTAGCAGTAATATAAGTACCCGAGACAATATTAGCAGTAATATAGGTACCCGAGACAATATTAGCAGTAATATAGGTACCCGAGACAATATTAGCAGTAATATAGGTACCCGAGACAATATTAGCAGTAATATAGGTACCCGAGACAATATTAGCAGTAATATAAGTACCCGAGACAATATTAGCAGTAATATAGGTACCCGAGACAATATTAGCAGTAATATAGGTACCCGAGACAATATTAGTAGTAATATAGGTACCCGAGACAATATTAGCAGTAATATAGGTACCCGAGACAATATTAGTAGTAATATAGGTACCCGAGACAATATTAGCAGTAATATAGGTACCCGAGACAATATTAGCAGTAATATAGGTACCCGAGACAATATTAGCAGTAATACAGGTACCCGAGACAATATTAGCAGTAATACAGGTACCCGAGACAATATTAGCAGTAATACAGGTACCCGAGACAATATTAGCAGTAATACAATAATGACATTAACATTCCCTGGTTTCAAACTGTCGAATGCTTGGAAAAATATGATTTTAATAACTTGTATTATACAGACGTGACAACGATTGCATAAGCCTTACCTCCTGGTCGTAATAAGTGGTGTACTCCTGAAACTCTTGACGACCGCCCCACAGCCGTAATAAAAATGTTTGCCACGCCAATATCTCCTTCCTCTCTACCAAACAGTCCGACCATTCCGTTCCACGTCCCATTCGCAGTTATATCTCCCCACATTTCACCTAAAAGGGATCTCTCTTAAAATATTTAATCACACTTTTGTTTAAAGTACAAGTGTTAATAATTTATTTTAAACAATCCACAAAATTTAAGTGAATACAGTTTACTTAGAGCAATGTATAATCCTCCTCTTTCCTTACCACCGGGTAGATCGAATATTGTTGACGTCTATTTTTTTCTCTTACTTGACAAACAGTTTTTAAACATGATGCAGTCTTCAGTTTACTCTATACTCAAACACCAGTAGTTTACATGATGCAGTCTTCAGTTTACTCTATAGCTCAAACACCAGTAGTTTACATGATGCAGTCTTCAGTTTCTCTATAGCTCAAACACCAGTATTTACATGATGCAGTCTTCAGTTTACTCTAAGCTCAAACACCAGTAGTTTACATGATGCAGTCTTCAGTTACTCATAGCTCAACACCAGTAGTTTACATGATGTAGTCTTCAGTTTACTCTATAGCTCAAACACCAGTAGTTTACATGATGCAGTCTTCAGTATACTCTATAGCTCAAACACCAGTAGTTTACATTGCAGTCTTCAGTTTACTCTATAGCTCAAACACCATAGTTTACATGATGCAGTCTTCAGTTTACTCTATAGTTTCAAACACCAGTAGTTTACATGATGCAGTCTTCAGTTTACTCTATAGCTCAAACACCAGTAGTTTACATGATGCAGTCTTCAGTTACTCTATAGCCAAACACCAGAAAGTTTACATGATGTATCTTCAGTTTACTCCTATAGCTAAAACACCAGTAGTTTACATGATGCAGTCTTCAGTTTACTCTATAGCTAAAACACCAGTAGTTTACATGATGCAGTTTTCGTTTACTCTATAGCTCAAACACCAGAAAGTTTACATGATGCAGTCTTCAGTTTACTCTATAGCTCAAACACCGTAGTTTACATGATGCAGTCTTCAGTTTACTCTATAGCTCAAACACCATTTAGTTTACATGATGCAGTCTTCGTTTACTCTATAGCTAAAAACACCAGTAGTTTACATGATGCAGTCTTCAGTTTACTCTATAGCTCAACACCAGTAGTTTACATGATGTAGTCTACACCAGTCTCTCAGCACAATAAGCAATAATTTACTAAATTCTTCTTTTCTTTACCCAACGCAGCTAATTTACTCTGCTTTTGTGGGCAACAGAGGCAGGGCCAGGAGCTAAGACCCTACCCTTCCCACTACGTGTAGTGAACTTATGCCAGTGCCACACACAACCAACACCCACCCACACAACACACACACACACACACACACAACACACACACACACACACACACACACACACATAGAGGGGGGCACACCACCAAGTGCTGGACACAGTGCACACAACCGAGGAAGAAGTGAAGGGGCTTCTGAGTGAGCTAGATACCTAAAAGGGCAAGGGGGCCAGATAACATCTCCCCATGGGTCCTGAGAGAGGAGCAGAGGCGCTATGTGTACCCCTAAAAACAATATTCAAAAACATCTATCGAAACAGGGAATTGCTGAGGCATGGAAGACAGCAAATGTAGTCCCAATCTTTAAAAAAGGAGACAGACATGAAACATTAAACTACAGACCAGTGTCACTGACATGTATAGTATGCAAAATCATGGAGAAGATTTTCAGGGAAGAAGTGGTGGAACACCTAGAAAGGAATGATCTCATCAACAGCAGCCAACATGGTTTCAGGGACGGGAAATCCTGTGTCACAAACCTACTGGAGTTCTATGACATGGTGACAGCAGTAAGACAAGAGAGAGAGGGGTGGGTGGATTGCATTTTCTTGGACTGCAAGAAGGCGTTTGACACAGTTTCCCCACAAGAGATTGGTGCAAAAACTGGGGGACAAAGCAGGATAACAGGGGGAAAAAGACAAGGTGGACAAAGACAGGATGTTCCAGAGATTGGACACAGTAACAAGGGGACACAGTTGGAAGCTGAAGACACAGATGA